TGCTTGCCAAAAAAAAAAAAAAAAAAAAAAAAAATCAAGAATCAGGAGTATGAATCACCAGTACACCATACACCGGCCCGCGGGAGTCAGCATGACGCCTGCACCAGTTCGGAGGGCGCAAATTTTTGTTTTCAATGGCGTGCCGCGCCGCGCGGCCTCTTCGAGTTTTGCTTGTGGCGACAAAAACTTTCTGCAGCGCTGGGGCCATGTACTTGCGGTTTAAGGCCTCGGAATTTAGAGATTAGAGGTCTTCGGAGCTAACGAGGAATGCCAGAGACGGATATCGTGATTTGTCTAACAGGTGCTTTCATACACGCCCAATTGACGGCTCAGTGACGAAAGTACAGCATGAAGAAGCATGGCATCTGCAACATATGTTACTGCGCCCCCGCCAAATCAGCGACTCCGAACGCCCTCCACTTTCATGCAGTGTGTGATGTCGCCCCTCCCCTACCTCCCAGGAGCGTCACAGCAGTGGGGCATGAGGCATCTATCTCAATGATAGCAACAGGGAAACAATATAGGAACCAACACCTCGTACTCCCGGGATGATGACAGCGACTCCCGGCTCTCGCCCCGCTAACCTGTGATTCTGGTAGACCGTAGCACAAAGCAGACCCTCGTTAGTCCTGCCAGCGCACTCCAAGAAGAACCACGAATATCCAAGGAGCGTGGAAGTCAGCTAGCAAAGATCACCATGGCTGCTCTCGCCTCACCATAACGTGCTATTTCTTCGCAGCACCATCTCACAAGTGTGCGAACAAAATCCAGCCGTGTGGAGCCAACATCGCCGTAGATGTAGCCATTCTACCCAACATGCGCTTGTGCACGAACCGGGCGTGGAAACCCGGTGGCCCACCACGCCGCCCTCCCGGAGTGCGACAATGCATCAATCTGATACTCCCTCTGTGAGAGTCGGATCGTTCTTTACTAGTGCAATCACACAGAGCAGGGAAAGATCAGGAACAGCCCATTCCCAACAGGTCTGCACAAAAGTCATTCTTTCGCCAGAGTTGCAGTACTGGGTCCTCCTGTGGTGCGGCATCGGCCCAGTAGCAGGCTTCCACCAATTGAAGGCCCCGAATCTTCAGAGAATGATGCAGAACAAGGACACGTGTGATACTAGGAAATTCCCATGCAAATTGATTCCTTGTCTAATCCAGTACGTCTACTTTTTTTTTTTTTTTTTTTGTCTACCGGTACTACTAAACAAAGGTGTAACGGGAGGATGGATGTTCCGCCAGCCATACCACGGGCGTCATCCTCCCTCTCCATAACTCTGTGCCCTGTCTAACTCGTGTATGTGTGGGTAGAGGGTGGGGAGAGAGAGAGAGAGAGAGAGAGAGAGAGAGAGAGAGAGAGAGAGAGAGAGAGAGAGAGAGAGAGAGAGAGAGAGAGAGAGTCTGAAGTATCTTATTAATTCGATTCTATAATACATTGATAATTAATGAAGTTCATAGGTATCATATTCGAGAGATGGTTAATGGAAGGCTAAAAAATCAGGGTTTTTCGCTGCACCACCACAAGCAATGTCATCAAAAATCTCACGGAAAACAATGCAGGCTCATACTACAAACATAAAAAAAAGGCAAAAAAAAACTAAAAACCACTATAGAACTCTATTTGGAGTAGCTTTCGGAGTTCCGCAATTTTTTCCCTGAATTCGGTGTTTTTCCTAACTTTCTTGTTAGCGGTCCAAAATTCCAAACGCATCGAAAATCGATACAAATATACCCTAACAAAAAAGTTGGCAAAAACACCGATTTCAGAGAAAAAAATGGAGTTCCCCTAGAGCACAGTTTGCACACTGAACCCCTGCTAAGTTTTCCAGCCACTATTCTCCATTACTAATTACCCTTCTCAATAAATAAAAATTAAATAAGGTTTAAAGAGTTATTTTGTTCTCATCGTCTTCCTATCCTAATGGGAGAGTAGGTTATCTAAACAATTCCGGTGGTTCTTTGGTACCTAAATAAAAAAGAGATACGGCCATGATGCACTGCGACTTTTGGGGCACGACCCACTGAGCTATAGCTTCAGTATTTTGGTGCTCTTATGGGGTCCATTCGTCTAGCAGGGTTTTTCCCGGGGGGGGGGGGGGGGATGGAGTTTGGCCATCCCCTTTTGCCTTCATCCCTCCCCCACCCCCACCTACCCATCTATCCCTTTCTTCTCAGACCCCAATTGTTCCCAGAACTCATCCAGATGCATGAAGGGTGCACAAATTTGCAAATGCAATGTTCATCATGTGTTCATCCTGCGCATAACCGAGAAAAATTACCACCGCCCTAACCTTAGAAAGCCCAGGTTGCAAAGTGTTCCACCAATTTACAGAGAATTTCATTATTGGTATATTTATGAGACCTATACAAACAAAAAGAGAAGCTACATCTGCAGAAAAGAATACCAAACGTAGTGCACCTAAATAGATAGATAGCAGTATTAAATAAATAACGGAAGTGTTTCGAGCATCCCAAACCCAAAAGGTTCCCCACATAGGTTTTCCCCAAAAACTTCCAGTAACTATGACAGGCACCATGGTATTCCTACGGGACTCCCTTCCAACCTACCACTTTTGTAATTTCCCCGGGTGCACCTCTACTCCCATGATCCGACCTTAATGGCTCTAATCTCGATCATTGTGCATGGGACGCTGGACCCATTTTGCAGCAGGTGCTGCTCCCCACCAATAGATGGAGCATCCCCTTGAGCACTAGCTTTGTCTGATCCTACCAGCACCCCTAGTGCTCGAAAGGGATTTTCAAAAAAAAAAAAAAAAAAAACACCTTTCATGCATGAGTACGAATGGTCTATAAGATTTTATATCCTGCATTTCCCTGAGTTTTAAACATGAAAAACCTCAAAAAAAGGGTCCCCTCTGAAAGCTAACACAAAAAAGGCCCTGGAGGGAACTGTGAAACACTAAACTTCAAAACCAAGAGTCGAATTCAAACTCACATTTGAAAATTTTGTACCATTCACAACCAAGAACTTGATGCTGTTGTATTCGCCGAAACACACGTGAAATCACTGAACCGTTGTTTACAGTACTTCATAGTATATACACATTGAGAATTAAGCACGCTCTCTCTCTCTCTCTCTCTCTCTCTCTCTCTCACACGCACACGCGCACCCCCCCCCCCCCCCACACACACACACACACACACACATGCACACCCACACACGCGCGCGCACACACGCACACACACACATATACACACACACACACTCCGTTTTTGGTATGTTTGTTTTTTTCTCTTTCTACTATTTTTTCTTAAGTACTTTTTGTGTCCCCAGCTGAGCACCCTCTAGCAGTGCCAGACAGTCTGTGGGTTCTCTTTAGGAGTGCCTATTGCACTCTTAGGGGGGCCGCTCGTCTGTGTTGCCTGTAGGTGATGACGGATGGTCGTCGAAGTGTCTCCCTGGCTCAGTGGGTGGTGGGAACCAACAGTCTGCGGGTTGAACTCATGATGTGAGTAGGTCATGTACCGCTTTGCTCCGTGTTGGATGGTAGACCGTCTTGTCTGCGCTCTGCCACTGCCTTGCTGCCCATGCTACTTTCTTCACAGGTCTTCCTCACTGCTCTACTGCCTTGCCGCCCATCCACAGGCCCTGCCTCCCGTGTCTTTTGCTCGTGTGCCTTGTGGTGTGGTTGCCTTGTGGTGGTGCCTTGCACTTCACTGCATGGTTGCTGAGCTGCTTGTCCGTGTGCCCTGTCGGCCTTCAGCGTCCTTTGCTTGCATGCCTTGTAGTTTGGTTGCCTTGTTGGTGCTGCCTTGTGCTTCACTGCACGGTTGCCTAACTACTTGTCTGCCTGCCCTGTTGGCTTTCCGCGCCCTTTACTTGCTTGTGTGCTTTGATGTCTGGTCGCCTTGCTAATGCTGCCTTGCACTTCACCGTACCGTTGCCGAGCTGCTTGTTCGCTTGCCCTGTCGTTCCTTGCAGTTGTGTTCGGTGATAAGCAGTTGGGCTGCCTCTGCGTTGTCTGGTGCCGTGAAGGGTTGCTGCTGCTGCTATGTCCCGCTTGGGGACAGTCTGCCTTCAACAAGGGTCAAAGGGTTCATGACCCAAACCATCAAATACAGAGATTCCGCAGATTGTCAAGGGTTCAGCCTCCTGATGAGTCGGTGCAACTCCGATGAAACAATCCTGTTATCATCAGTTTTTTTTTGGGGGGTCTTCTGATTTTTTTGGGACTTGTATTTTTCCTGTTTGCCTGTTTCATGTGCTTGCATGTTGTCTGCCCTCCCACCTCCCCCCGAGTCCCCCGAGTCCCCCGTGCCCTCCAGCCTATGCCTTGATGTCCTTTTGCTTGCTTTGTTATGGCATGCTTTGGTGCCTTTCTTGTCTACCTGATCTAGGCATCCTTCTGGGATTTTTATTGGTTTGCCTGCTGATGTGCTTGCATGTTGTCTGCCCTCCTGCCTGCCCCATGCCCTCTTGCCTACATATCTGGCACTTTGGAAAGCTGGTCATGGATAACCACGTTAGCACGAGGTAGCTTCTTGAGATGTAGTAGTGTGGCAACATACAGGATTAGTTTGGTTGCGGCAGGGCAGGGTGTACCATGGGTTCCATGGGCTGCATGGTGATTACACCATGGGATATATTGGACACACACACACACACACACACACACACACACACACACACACACACACACACACACATCATCACACTCACACATACATCTCCACGCGCGCACACACAGACACACACACACACACACACGCACATACACACACAGACACACACAGACACACACACACAAACAAACAAACAAACAAACAAACGGGGATCTGTAGAAGGCAACCTGTGGAAGCCACAACATCCATGCCTCATAAATCCATCCGCACAAAGTTCAGCCTTGCTAAAGAATAGATGACAGCGAAGATACTGAAAGGACGAGAATGGCCAATTGGATATGACTGCCACCAAAACCAAAAGTTCCTGCATGGAGAGGTGGGGATGGTGATAGGCTTAGAGGGTGGTTCCCCACAGAATTCAAATGGTTTCAAGAGACGCTACAATAAGTAATGCATTTGACAAAGAAACATATCTTGAAGAGGTCACAAATCTTCCACCTCCGCCATCAACAAGCGCGGAGAAGATGGAGAAGGAAGATAGCTATGCAGTAGAGCACCAGCCCTCACAGAATCATCCACTCGACATAGCCAGAAATCGGCAAACTCACACCCTCCTAGGCATCTGTGTTGCTCATCTGCAGTGCAGGTGACGATCGGCGCGAACCAAGACTACCGGTAGAGTGCGAAGCACAACTAAGCTAAACTGGGCATCCATCATCCACAAGCAAGAATGATTCCAGAGACAAAGGTGCAGGCAATGCTTCTTGCTCCCTTTTACATCTATCTTTTGACCCATAATAACATATATATCCTTCCATTTGCGAATCCAGGCAGATATCCGAACCATCGGTGAAACCCAGTTGATTGCACCAATGTACTGTAAAAACATCACCTATTGCTAAAGGCACCGCATCACACACAATGCCTGCAGCCGCAAGTTCTGTTCTACCACCTGTCAGTTTAGAGAGCCTCTGCCTCTCGCCACATTCACACTTCTCTCCACTTCGCACTACCTCATAATTCATCACACTCAAGGACTTTACCAAACTCAATACCTCTCTCTCTCTCTCTCTCTCTCTCTCTCTCTCTCTCTCTCTCTCTCTCTCTCTCTCTCTCTCTCTCTCCCCAATACACACACACACACACACACACACACACACACACACACACACACACACACACACAATTCTGTGCATGCCAATCTCCCTATGCATGTCGAGAACTGTGATGAGAAGAGTGGGATCAACCCAATGACAATACGCAACTGTGTAAGATATTCTTTCTACCATTGATGAGGACGACAAAACAATCTGAACTTCTGAAGTAGTGACAATATTTTTACGATTGATGTGGACGGCAAAACAACCTGAAGTAGCGGCTAATGTTACGGCTAATCATGTCATTCTACAGCCAACGGGTGCCTATGGTTATCTCGATACACATCTGGAACGACTTGAAAGCCAAGACAAAAAGAGACGGCAAAGAGGTGGCGAAATTCAGTGGGGAAATAAATTGGGAATGTCAGAACTCCTTTTTCCCCCTTCGAAGTTCGGACCATTTCTCGATTTATGCAAGTCGTCCTTGCACAGGGGCCATGGTAATATTCTCTCTGCATGGTTCCATTTTAAACAGATGTCCTGGGCGAGGAAGGGGGGGGGGAGGGGGAAGAAAAAAAGAACAGATGTCCCGAAGGATGGGAATGTCAGAAGACTCTGATACATCAGCTTTCTAAACAATTCTGGTGGTACAATTTGACGCATGACTAGAGTCTAGAGGATTCCATTGAAATGTCGCGCGTTCAGAAATGCTGGCTGCTGATTCGTGCTCAACGAGCGGCGATGAGATTTGAAACTCGTGATATTCGCTTCCAGGGCTACGACCTCGTACGCGACAAATATGACCAAATAAACACCCTGATAATCCAACACCTTGCTTTGCAAATGATACGACAACGGATCGCTACAGCTTTGGCGAAGGGGAGACGGATACGGACTGCTAATCCTCCGACAAACTTTGGTTTCCTGCTGATTGTCCCGAATCTTGGATCGTTCCGTCCTCAGTGTGGTGCCGAACCTAAGAATTTGAATGTTCTAAGATTCTTAGGGGTTCAAATCCATGCTGTGTCATGCTGTGCATCAGGGGTCCTTCCACCGAACGGAACAAAGTGCGAGGGTGTCAATGCTGTAATACATACATGACTTGCCGGGGGGAAATTAACAGGACGGATGCTCTCCAGAATGGATATAGAACCCTTAGGGGTTCAAATCACTGCTGGTAGGGGGCCCTTCGAGGAATGGAAAGAAGCATGAGGGTGTCAATGATGTGCTACACGACTTGCCGGGGGAAAAAAGCAAAAGGACTGATGCTTCCCAGAATGGATATAGAACCCTTAGGGGTTCAAATCACTGCTGGTCAGGGGTCCTTCGAGGGCGTCAATGATGTAATACACGGCGTGCCGGGGGGGAAAAGGAAAAGGACTGATGCTCCTCAGAATGGATATAGAACCCTTAGGGGTTCAAATCACTGCTGTGCTGGTCAGGGATCCTTCGAGGGCGTCAACGATGTAATACATGAGTTGCCGGGGCAGAAAAGGAAAATGACTGATGCTCCCCAGCGTGGATATGGAACCACAGGTCCAGGACTCCAGGACACTATATAAGGGCCTGGCTTGCTGACAATGGATGAGTAAGGGTAGGAGGGCGTCTCATAGGGGACCTGGATAGAAAATCATCTGGATGAGCAAATGGCCAACTGCGGAAGGGACTGTCATATGCCTGGTGGCTAGCCTCTACAACAACCTGGACTTAATATACAAAAGAAAAAAAAAGAAAAAAGGAAAAAAAGGTGCGAAGTTACTACAAAAAAAATAAAAAATAAAAAAAAATCATAGAGGTTGCCTGCAAATAGCCCAGCGGTAAGAGACAACTTTGGGGAGACGGACTGCTAAACCTTCTGCGAAGGGAAGGGTAGTTCTTTCTATATGTCAGCTTGGCAGCAAGTTCGCACCGACTAGTTAAATATCCAAGAGCTTCTTTTTCATGCGATAAAAAAAGGCGAAAGTTTCGCAGGGATTTCATACGGATCATGGATGTCGGAATTTTAGTGGCACACGTTACATGTTCTCGTGTCCGTGCTGGCATGTGACGAGTGACTGACGGGACTCCTCCTCCCATCGACAAGCTGGCTCGTCCGTGTCAGCGAAGACAAAAATAGGTGGTTGACATGTCCATTTGTGGATGGGACATCCCGAAGGCGATGATGGGTGAAGAACTAACTAACTTCACTAGATGCATGCAATGACTACATACCGGCATGCATCGCCCGGTGACTCAACCCTACCCTTCTGACCTGCACAACCTAGCAGTTAGTACAGCTC